CGCGAGCGCGACCCCCCGCTAGGTTACAGCAGCAGCCTCCGGCAACACTATACGAAAGTGCGGGGAGCGACAGCGCGATGATACAGTTAGGCCGGCGGAAATGCATAGCCTCCAAGAGCGTTGAGCCGCGGTGCATTGTATAGCCTCCAAGAGCGCTAAGCCGCGGTGCATTGTGGGTGGCTCTATCCGCTCGCCTTTGTAAACTCGCGGCCGGGACTGCCACTTGTAGAAACTCCAGCGCTGGGTTTATTGTATGAAACTCTGTGGCAGTAGTGGTACCCATGTGATTAAGAATCTTTGAGGGTCATTTCTGACTCTGATATGACACCCACAGCTTCAACGTTTCTAAACGTTGAACAGCTTCACATGTCTTTTTCACTTTATTCAAAACACGCCAGGTGGCGAAGAGCTCGTGGGCAAATTAAGGTCCCTAGATGAAACAAGTTTCCAAGATAGCGACACCACGGAGGAAGTGTAGCGACACCCTCCCTTTTCCTCCTCGCTTATTTTCCTGAAGCGCCCCCTAGAAGGTTTAAAACTTTCATCCAAAAGCGAATGTTTAGGTTCTGTTGCTACGGTGAATAGATGTAAATGAAACAAAATGGAACAAAATAAGACGTAGAATAAACAGTTATCTTTATGAACATAAACGGCACAACACAAGAGCAAGCGGGATGTGCGTTACTCAACCGGCAACGTTGGGCAGTTTTATACTTTACATCACTAGCCATGGCGTCTCGCGTAGTACATTTTAGTTCCACGGCCGTGGTATTTCGTCCAGTTCTAACTAGTCCACTTCTCCGATTGTGCTTTGTTCGTGCTGTGACACAGTGAACGTGCTTCTTGCTGGATCCTGTAAGTGGCCACAGGGCGTGATTTTGTGACGAGTGATTACAACCGGCTTGTGCACACGCAAGAAAAAAAACTACGACCAGACTGGTACGAACACTCGTCCAGCAGCACTGCGATGACGTTTTTTTTTTAAATGTGCCCATTTGGACAATCGTGATGCCAAGTGATTCTGATGCGGTGCTGGGAACTTCCTGAAAAGTGAGAGTTCTACTGGTGAGGTGTCTCGAAACAGCGCGTTTCGGCTCAAGCGGGAACTGGTCAAGAGTGAAATGTTTCTGAAGGTGCGTTGATTACAACCTACAGCTGTTCTGTATACGTGCATACCCACATGTATTTGTACCAACTGGCATGCACTAGACACGCATTAGACGCGCGTCTGGCTTTCAATAAAAACCGACAAGTGAACTCGCTTCGCAGATCCGCGTCGACATACGTTGACGGAGTTGCACGAAAGCATTCGCGTGAAACGGTTCATAGTTGCACTTCATGGTGCGCTTCATCTCGGAAAGCACGAGGTAAGTTGAAGAGAGCGAAACCATTTTCTGTTGTTTACGGCAACGCAGCATTGCTGAAAAACGCAGATGTTGCATTGAACGAGCATGGCGAAACAATCTTGGTCGACTTAGCGCACACCGAAACGCTCCTCCTCTTCGGTTTATGTTCTGGCTACTTTGGTCACGGCGAGAATCCGGCTGGAGCCATATGCGCATGCGTACTCGTTTTGAAGCTTTTGCACCTTTTTTAACCTTTTTTTAAATAAATAACACCACCAGCCATTTGCAAGATCACGTGCAAGTAATGCACCAATCACAGACGCGGATGACAGAAAAAGAGGAGTAATCGAGAGAGTGAGGAGGACGGTTCGAGAACAATGAGTGACGCTACCTTGTTTCATCTAGGGACCTTAGGGCAAATAACACGGGAGGTAGGAAGGCTGCAGTCAACCAGAGAGATTGCACTGATGTCACATAGGATGTATGATAGGCTCAGGGTAATGCACATAGATGAATGTGGCTCCAGAAGTCTGGGTAGTACGTGATCACAAACGTGTCAAGCTAAGTTTTGGAAGAGCAGTGAAAGTGGGAAGGAGACAAGATGAGCAACTATAGGAAAAAATTTTATTCAGAAAAGCAAATAGAAATAGCTACTAAACAAATTGAGAAAGTAATCACTGAGGATAATAAAACAGTGTGGACATACATGAATCTAATTACACTGTTTGAGCTAGAGCTTGCTAAGGCACGTGACAATTAAGTCACCCCGGAAGACACAAACCCAAGAGTTGGTGGGATGAGGAAGTTAAGAGAGCCACAGCAAAACGTCAGGAAGCCTCTAGGGAACACAGACATGCTAAGACGCAGGGTGAACCGACAGATGATGTTGAAAGAAAATGGGACATCTTTCTAAGCTGTAGAAGGGAAGCATCCCTTCTGATAAATGAAAAGATTAGAAGAAAGGGGGCTCAGTGGCTGGCAAAAGTACATAAAAAGGATAGAAAGGCAGCCGTGAAATTTTGGAACCATCTAAACTCCCTAAGAAATGAGACAAGCATAGAACAGAGGTTCATGCCCCGCCGCGGTGGTCTAGTGGCTAAGGTACTCGGCTGCTGACCCGCAGGTCGCGGGTTCGAATCCCGGCTGCGGCGGCTGCATTTCCGATGGAGGCGGAAATGTTGTAGGCCCGTGTGCTCAGATTTGGGTGCACGTTAAAGAACCCCAGGTGGTCGAAATTTCCGGAGCCCTCCACTACGGCGTCTCTCATAATCATATGGTGGTTTTGGGACGTTAAACCCCACATATCAATCAATCAGAACAGAGGTTCATAACTACAGCTCAAGGTGCTAAGCTAGAAGGGGGTGAATCTATTGAATATATATATAAGAACAAGGGTGACAGAAAAATTTGAACCAAGAAGTTCCTTATGCACCACAATAGACACGGATGGATCAAGTGGCGCAATGGTTCCATTTTCACAACGAGAGAGGGAAAGGGCTGAGAAGAGGGTTTCTAGTAGTACATCAGCAGGCCCAGATGGCGTTCCAATTATGCTGATAAAGACATTGGGTCCGAAGTCTAAACAGACTTTGAGAGAGGCAGTGAGCAAAACAATAATCGATGGTGAAGTCCCCGCTGGATGGAAACTTAGCAGGATGAGCATGATCTATAAAGGAAAAGGGGACAAAGCTGTCATAAACACACTGACATGAGTGGTCTACAGGCTGGCAATGCAGATTATAAGGGAAAGGCTGCAGGCATGGATAAAAGATGAGGGGGTGCTAGGGGAACTGCAGAATGGATTTTGAAAAAACGGGAAGTTGGAAGACAATCTGTTCTCACTGACGCTGTGCATCGAAATAGCAGAAAAGGAACACAGGCCCCTGTGGCTAGCATTTTTGGATATCGAGGGAGCTACGATAACGTGGTTCAAGAGGACTTGTGAGGAATTCTGGCCACACTAGGTGTGAAAGACGGAGTCTATAATCTTTTAAAGGATATCTATAAAGGTTAGAAGGTAGTTATAAAGCGGGAAAAACAAGTATCCAAGCCTACAGAGGTAAAAAGGGGGCTTAGGCAGGGGTGTCCTCTGTCAGCTTTGTTATTCATGATGTACCTGCAAGAATTAGAGGCCAAATTAGAGGGAAGTGGACTTGGCTTCAACCTCTCTTTCTTCAAACAAGGAAAACTCATTGAACAGGCACTACTAGCATTGATTGATTAATATGTGGGGTTTAACGTCCCAAAACCACCATTTGATTATGAGAGACGCCGTAGTGGAGGGCTCCGGAAATTTCGACCACCTGCATGGGGTTCTTTAACGTGCACCCAAATTTGAGCACACGGGCGACTACCAGCATTGATGTACGCAGACGATATAGTGCTAATGGCCGACAACAGGGAAGATTTGCAAAAATTGATGGACATCTGCGGTAATGATGAGATTGGTTTTAGATTTCAGATTCTGTAAAGAAAAATCAGCAGTGATGATTTTTGATGATAATGAAGGTAGTGAGCTTAGACTACAGGAGGTCATGCTAGAGATAACAGATAAATACAACTATGTGGGCGCATGCATAAGCAATGGGACCGACTACCTAAGAAAACACGAAATATACCTAACGACTAAAGGTAACAGGAATGCAGCAGTGATGAAAAACAGGGCACTGTGGAATTACAATAGGTATGATGTTGTGAGAGGAATATGGAAAGGGGTCATGTTTCCGGGTCTGACGTTCGGCAATGCGGTCTTGTGCATGAGATCAGAAGTTCAAGCAAGATTAGAAATTAGGCAGCGTGGAATAGGTAGGCTTGCTTTATGAGCTGACAGGAATATGCCAAAATCAGAGAGTACAAGGTGATATGGGACGGACATCATTTGAGGGCAGGGAAGCTAGCAGCAAAATAAAATTTAAGAAGCGATATAGAGAAATGGAGAAGGAGCGTTGGGCTAGGAAGGTTTTCAGCTACTTGTACATGAAGAATGTCGATACAAAATAGAGAAAGCGTACCAGGAAATCGGCGGGTAAATACTTAGAAAACAAACCAAAAAGAACTATCAGTTAATAAGAGGGTGAAAAGAACGAAGAATGACATATGGAGAATTGGCATGATTAAGAAGTCCGCACTACAGATCTATCGAACTTTTAAGCAGAAAATTGCCAAGGAAAGGATCTATGATAATACTCGGTGTAGTTCTGTACCGTTTGAGGCCAGGACCGGAGTATTGCGAACCAAGTCATATCGGGCCAAATACGTAGGGGTAGACACAGTATGCAGTGCATGCGGAGAGGAGGAGGAAACTGCCGAACACTTGATAATGTTTTGTGAAGGCTTCACCCTATAGTTCACGATGATGGCGCAGAGGTTTTCAAAGCACTGGGGTTTAGAGACAGGGAGGGCAAAATAGACTTTAAGCGGGTAGAATTAACTAGAAGGAGGTTATCTGATTGGTGGCTAAAGTCAAGTCACGAGTGAAAATTAAACCATTCACTGCAAAGTACAGTCCTATACTTCACTTTTTAAAGGAAAAAAAAAAGAAAGATAAATCTAGATGATGGTTCACTAAGTATTATGGCTAAGTGACGTTAGCCGCCACCCGATCTAAAGGGTACAGCCACATCAATCCATCCATCCATCCATACATCCAATGCGCATGTGCGCGCGCCTCGTGTTGTGTTTGTGTAACCTTTTTCCTTCCTCCGTGGTGTAACTAGTGTCACCGCGTTTTCAAATGTCTAAGCTTGTCATGAACGTGTTCGTGGCGTGACGACCAGTGTGTGTCGTGTCCAACTACAGCGTGTGCATTACAGTGTCATTCCATGGTGAGAAGTGCCTAATTTTCGTTCGTCAAGATCATGCCGTTTCACGTGGGACACCAGCATTATCGCGAACCTTCAGTTGGCCATTAGTTTTGTATCTGGTTGCAGAGTCGATAGTCATGAGTCATTAGACAGAGGTGCTCCAAGCGCTTTGAGCTGTGGATTAAGCTGCAAATTTACCGTCAAACAAGAAGGAGTACAGGCCACACCGTTGCATGAGCCTTGCCTTGCATGTTGACTGGCCAGTGTGTGACGCGCTCCCATTGTTGCTGTATGGCCCCGCCGCGGTGGTCTAGTGGCTAAGGCTGCTGACCCGCAGGTCGCGGGATTGAATGCCGGCTGCGGCGGCTGTATTTTTGATGGAGGCGAAAATGCTGTATAACCGTGTGCTCAGATTTGGGTGCACGGTAAAGAACCCCAGATGGCCCTCCACTACGGCATCTCTCATAATCATATCACTGTGCGTCCCGAATTTTTCGGAAAGGAAGAACAAAAAGTTCTTTCCGTTCGTTTATAGCTTAGAGGCTTTTGATAAAAGAATGGAAAACATTGTGGAGACAGTAAGTACAATAGAGTTCCCGGTTGAACCATGTCCAGTATACTGGACACTAAGATTCTTTTGGGTATAGACGTTCTGTTACCTTCCTTGAAAAAGGGTTGCTTTGGTCCTGCCGGAAGGTTAATCGTGTTAATTGGTTAATCGTGTTAATTGTGTCATAGCAGTCGTACATAGCGTCGTGAAAATAAAGGAAAACGTAGGAATACAGCACCCATAGCGCCCACAAGCCAACTTCCTCAGACGCCGCTTCCTCCTCGTGCGCCGTGCTCTTGGTAAAATTTTAGGGTGCTCCTATTTCATTGTTGATGGCTGGGCTTCAAGTTTATCGCCTGAGGCTCACTACTACTTTTCTTGTTTTCCTGCATGAAGCACGATGTGATCAAATGGAGTCCTGGTGTCCAGTGCACTGGAAATATAAACATTCTCGAATCAGGAGCAAACTCATCATCATCATCAGCCTGACTCTGTCCACTGCAGGACAAAGGCCTCTCCCATGTTCCGCCAGTCAACACGGTCCTGTGCTTTCTGCTGCCAATTTATACCAGCAAACTTCTTAATCTCATCTGCCCACCTAACCTTCTGTCTCCCCCTAACCCACTTGCCTTCTCTGGGAATCCAGTTAGTTACCCTTAATGACCAGCGGTTATCCTGTCTATGCGCTACATGCCCGGCCCATGTCCATTTCCTCTTCTTGATTTCAACTGATATCCTTAAACCCTGTTTGTTTCCTAATCCACTCTGCTCTCTTCTCTTAAGGTTACACCTACCATTTTTCTTTCCATTGCTCGCTGCATCATCCTCAATTTAAGCTGAACCCCTTTTGTAAGTATCCAGGTTTGTGCTCCGTAGCTAAGTACCGGCAAGATGCAGCTGTTATATACCTTCCTCTTGAGGGATAGTGGCAATCATCCTCGCATGATTTGACAGTGCTTGCCATATGAGCTCCACCCCATTCTTATTCTTCTAGTTACTTCAATCTCGTCGTTAGGCTCCACGGTTATTACCTGCCCTAAGTAGACATAGTTTTTTTACAACTTCAAGTGCACTATTACCTATCTCAAAGCGTTTCTCTCTTCGGAGGTTGTTGTACATTATTTTTCGTTTTCTGCAAATTAATTTTAGGAGCAACCTTTTTGATCTTCTTGTCTAACTCCGTAATCATGAATTGCAATTCGTCCCCTGAGTTGCTCAGCAACACAATGTCATCGGCAAAGTGCAGGTTACTAAGGTACTCTCCATTAACTCTTGTACCTGACTGTTCGCATTCTAGGTCTCTGAAAACTTCCTGTAAGCATGCAGTAAATAGCATTGGGGGGATTGAATCTCACTGTTCTACAACCTTCTTGATTGGTATTCTGTTGCTTTCTTTATGAAGCACTATGGTAGCCGTTGGTCCCCAGTATATTTCTTCCAGGATGTTTATATATGCTTCGTCGATGCCCTGATTCCGCAATGTCTGCATGACTGCTGATATTTCTATGAATCAAATGCCTTCTCGCAATCTACGAAGGCTATGTATAGTGGTTGGCTATATTCTGAGCATTTCTCTATTACCTGATTGATAGTATGAATGTGGTCGATTGTTGAGTAGCCTGTTCGAAATCGTGCTTGTTCCTTTGGTTGTTTGAATTCTAATGTTTTCTTTACACTAGCAAATACCTTTGTAGATAGCTTGTATACTACAGAGAGCAAGCTAATCGGCCTGTAATTCTTCAAGTCCTTGTCATCTCCTTTCTTATGTATTAAGATGATGTTAGCGTTCTTCCAGGACTCTGGTACTCTTCCCGTCAGGAGACATCTTGTAAACAGGGTGGCTAGTTTTTCCAACACAATCTGTCCTCCATCTTTCGGCAGATCTGATGTTACCTGATCCTCACCAGCAGCTTTGCCTTTTTGCATGCTCTCCGAAGCTTTTCTGACTTCATTACTGGTGGGGTGTCATCTGGGTTACTGCTAGTTCTTATAGTATTAAAGTCGTGGTTGTCCCGGCTACTGTACAGATCTCTGTAAAACCCCTCCGCTATTTTAACCACCTTATCCGTATTGGTAGTTATTTTGCCTTCTTTGTCCCTTAGTGCATACATCCGATTTTTGCCTATCCCAAGTTTCCTCTTCACTGCTTTGACGCTTCCTCCGTTTTTCAGAGCGTGTTCGATTCTCTCCATGTTATACCTTCTTACATCGGACACCTTACGCCTATTAATCAACTTCGAAAGCTCTGCCAGTTCTATTTTGTGTGTTATACTTGAGACTTTCATGATTTGACGCTTCTTAATGAGATTCTTCGTTTCCTGCATGAACGGTGCCGCACCGCACTACAATTTAAACAGTTCTCAAACTTTCACGGTGGCTGGCGTAGATGCATGGCGCGGTTTTATTTCCGCTCACCAGGTGGTACGGTGGCCACGGTTAGCTCTAGAAGGAAAGCATCCCTCCTGATCAATGAAAAGATTAGAAGAAAGGGTGCTCAGTGGCTGGTGCTCAGTGGCACTGAGGGTGCTCAGTGGCCCAGATGGCATTCCAATTATCCTGATAAAGACATTGGGTCCGAAGTCTAAACATACTTTGAGAGAGGCAGTGAGCAGAACAATAATCGATGGTGAAGTCCCTGATGGATGGAAACTTAGCAGGATGAGCATGATCTATGAAGGAAAGGGGGACAAAGATTAGATTGCCGCGAGGAGTCGCCGTAGCGCCAGACGCTACGGCGACTGTATCTCGGATGGTGAACGCGCCTTGCGTTCCAGTGGGACATTCTGTTCCCCCACGGCCGTCGAACGCGCTGTTCGCCACCCGCTAAGCCGGCGCGTCTGTTTTCTTTTAGTGGGCGCAAGTCCGCCAAATAAACGGATCTCCTGCAATTTCTACTAACCTCCCGGTCTCCTGTCTTCGGGCTACCCTCACTCTTACATGACATCTGGTGGAGGTGTTGGGTATGCACAAAAACGACCTTAAAACAGCCACTGCAGAGAACGAGGACGCTGAAAACACAGATACTCGAAGCAGTCGCCGCCTCCGAAACCTGCCACCTGAGCTGGGACCGCTACCGGACCCCACGAGACCACGAAAGGACGCTTCCACAGCCACCATGAGCACCCCGCAATCACCTACCCCTGTCATGCTGCAGCAGCCGCGGGTGCCCCCAACTTTCCATGGTTATGCCGCTGAAGACCCAGAAAAATGGCTCGACCAATTCGAGCGCGTGGCTACCATAAACAGGTGGGATGAAGAAATGAAGCTGCGATACGTTTATTTTCCTCTGGACGGCCCCGCCAAAACGTGGTATGAAAACCATGAGACCACTCTGACCACCTGGGAATTTCTGAAGAATGAGTTGCTCAGGACCTTCACCAGCATCATGCGAAAAGAAAGGGCCCAGCTGCTGCTAGAATCGAGGACCCAACAGCCCAATGAGACCCTAAACGTGTACGTCGAAGAAATTAAACGTCTTTTTAGGCGAGTGGACCAAGACATGACCGAAGACAAAAATGTCGGATACCTAATGCGAGGGGTGAAGGAGTCGCTTTTCACCGGTCTCATAAGGAACCCTCCTAAAACAGTCGCCCAATTTACTGAAGAAGCGCACACCATAGAAAGGACCCTGGACGCCCGGACTCGGCAATACAACCACCCGTTTCAGCTCAGCTCGCTCTACTCGGAACCGATTCGAGGTGGGCTAACCACCAGCGATCTGCGGGAAGCTATTCGAGAAGTGGTTAAAGAAGAACTACGCCGATTGCTACCTCCTACCCCCCAGCCCCCCCAAGGAGCATCTCTCTTGGACATAGTGCGTGATGCAGTCCAGCAGGCGCTTGGCTCTTCATCAGCGACGACTCGAACAGAGGCCGAAGCAATGACTTACGCCGCTGCAGTGAACACTAGGCCACCCCGACGAAACGAGCCCAGTTCTCGACGGTACGCTGCAGCCCCAAGTAGCCGTCCGCCCTTACCCGCCCACCCTACATACGAGAGACGCCAGAGCCAAAGAAAATGCGACACCTGGAGAACTCCCGACGACCGTCCCCTATGCTTTCACTGCGGTGAGGCCGGCCACATTCTTCGACACTGCCCCTACAGGCGGATGGGACTGCATGGCTTCTCGTCTCAGGCACCACGGCCACGCCCTGGACAACGACCTCCGGCAATCGAAGACTACCTGCGCCATACAGAGTACTTGTCCAACCGTTCTCCATCACCGCCATCCCCACGCTTCATGTCACCGAACCGCAGCAACAACGAACGAAGAAGGTTCCCAAGCCCCCGTAGGGGAAACTAAAACCAGCAACCTTTGGAGGTGAGGTTGCTTCAAGGGGAAAAGCCGAAGACCCTCCACCGACGACCATATATGACGACAGCACATCATCTACGACGACGACAACGCACAACAACCCAAGCTGCGAGACGAAGCAAAATGAAGCAACAAGACGAAGCCGTGACCCGAACC